CCAGTACCAGTGCTCCGTGTGAAGTCACCCAGCCTACAGACCAGTACCAGTGCTCCGTGTGAAGTCACCCAGCCTACAGACCAGTACCAGTGCTCTATGTGAAGTCACCAAGCCTACAGACCAGTACCAGTGCTCTGTGTGACATCACTGAGCCTACAACTCTGGAGTTACAATTCAAAATAAATATTATTTAAAAGTAAGGAAACAGATGACTTGCTGACTAAGAAAATGCTAGATTCTTTCTAAGACTCACAGTCCACTCTGGACTTTTGTTTCATGATATAGTCAAGACAAAATGAGGCAGTGTCACTCCCACCACGGGCAGAATGCCCCTCCCTGTCTCCCTCCACACAGAGAAGTGACTTCAGAGCCCAGTTGTCACATCTGTGGCTTGGGTCACCTGTGGCTCAGGTAACAACTTCCTAAACTTGGTTAAGATCAACTGTGTAACCACGATGCTAAGACGAGGGCCCTCACCTTGAGGATGAGAACATGACCCTTGGAAGAAGCTAAGGGCTGGGCTAGCTACCCTGAAACCAGTAAGAGAGAAGTTATCAATATTGAAATCCGAGTCTTAAATACCACCACTGTCTTCAAAACTCACAGACCCTTCTTCCAATCAGGAAATTGTCCGTCATCAGGGGCCCTGGCCCGAGTAATCCACCGATGGTGTTAGAAGCAGAGATATTTCAGAAATAGGAAACGCATTTTGTGATGATGTCTGTTTCTAGGACAGACCATAGCAGCAGAAAAACTTTCCAGAGTCGGACTGCTCAAATGTCTATCTCAGGAACAAAGGCAGCCAGCCTTCATGAGGTACTGACGTATATTCTACCAAAAATATTTTTCTTTTCCTAGAGTTATAAGTTGTCTTCAAGTTCAACTATATTACACATCTGTTCTTTTAATTGGCAAAAAGAGTGACTTAAAAAAAAATACTCCAAAATGAGTGATGTCTATATATAATGAAGGTAGAATTTTGGTTGGTTGGTTTCTGTAATTCAGAACATAGACGAAATCAAAAGATCTGTAATGGTCTGCACATTTATGTCTTCCCAGGGTCCTTTGCTCAGTTTACATGAACTCATCAGAATCGTTACCATCTTGATTTGAGGACATATTCTCACCTTTCATTAGCAACAAGTAGCTCCTAAATTCATCCATTTCCCTTTTCTTCTTCATTTCTTCTTTCTCTCTCCTTTTCATTTCCTGAATCTGAGCTTGTTTCTCATTCCTCTCTTCACGGTCTCGACCTTCTTTCTCTGCTGCTAGGTCGGGAAACTTCTCCAATTTGTTTTTTTCTAATAGGCTCAAGATTTCATTCACTTTTTCTCCACTGTCATAGCTTTGACATCCTTCTGCCTGTGAAAGCCTATCTGCCCCCCATCCGCATCAGCTGTTTTCTTCAGGTTAGACCATGGCGTATATACCACATTAATGTTGTTCATCTTGCATCCTTGAATGCTATTGGCCTTCACAAGGTGGGCACAGTCCATCAGAACCTCCTTTGAAATGTCTTCTATCATCTCTCCCTTTTGTTTTGTTTTTGTTTTTCGAGACAGGGTTCCTCTGTGTAGCTTTGCGCCTTTCCTGGAACTCACTCTGTAGCCCAGGCTGGCCTCGAACTCACAGAGATCCGCTTGCCTCTGCCTCCTGAGCGCGTGCACCACCACCATCCGGCTGTCTCTCCCGTTTGTAATTGAAGGTATACATGAGACAAAGAGCGTTTGTCCACGTGAGACCAAATATCTTCAGGCCAGCCATACTTTATCAGATCTTCATTTTCATATTTTTCCTTTCCCGTGTAGACGGTGTAAGTGGATGGGTTAACACTGTGGCTGGTGAAGCAGAACCCCACGATCCTGACCCAAGAGTGGCAGCTCCTGCTCAAATCTCGAAGCCCCCACCACAAAATCTTAACACAAGGTTTCGTGTGGCCCAGGCTGGCCTAGAACTTATTATGTAGCAGAGGCTGTCCTTGAGCTTGCAATCCTTCTGCCCACAGCTCCCAAGTGCTAGGCTTACAGGTGTGTGTGTGCCGTTATGCTTGGCAAAGGAAAAAACCCTCATTGTGTAACCTAATTTTGAAGTACCTGAAGAACATAAATTGTTAAAGTGTAATGAAAAAATGTGTATAGACTTGGGGGAGATAAAATTACTCACATCGTTCCTTTTCCATAGATAGGATTTTTTTTTTTTTTTTTTTTTTTTTTTCAGGGTTTCTCTGTGTAACTTTGCGCCTTTCCTGGAGCTCACTTGGTAGCCCAGAAGAAGACGAGGTGGAGATGTCTGTGTGTGCAT